AACAAGGTATTCCAGCACACCATTCGCGAGCCATGAGGTGAAAAGAAGGGCAGTTTAAGAGTCTTGAAGGACAGGTCTGGAAACCTTCTTATCGTGGAAAGAACATCCTTCGACGATGGAGAGTACTTTCTCCAACCCCTTAACATCGAGCAACCGCAGGAACATTCACCTGTAGAGCAGCAGGGAACGGATATTACTGTTTCTGCGGACGAAATCAGACAAGCTATTAAAATCTTGAAAAGCAAAAAGGGTGCTGGAAATGATGAAATCCGCACCGAAATGCTTAAAGCATTAGTGGATTAAACGTGTCTATAAAACTGCAACGGCTACGGGGAAGACGCAACAGGAACAGGAACACGGGAGGTGTAGTACCCCTGTCCAAAAGGGGAGACATCACCGAGTGCAGCAGTCATCTGGGCATTACTTCAATGAGTCTCCCGGGTAAAGTCAGAATAAAAAGTCAAGAACAGAGGTGCTGCAGAACAACCAAATCCAAGAAAACAAGACTAGTGCAGATTCCGGCCCGGTGAAAGTAAGCCTGACTACATATTCGCTCCACGCGAGATTGTTTAAACATCTTGGGAAGTCGGCATTTGATGCATATGTGCTTCGTTGACCAAGACAAAGCCTATGACCGGACTCCGTGCAACAGCCTACAGGCATGCCTTCTACGATCCGGTATCAATGGCCAGTTGCTAGGGGCCATCCAATCACTACATGAACATCTTCCATCCCTGCTTCACCTTTTCGGTCGCGGAGGCAGACGCGTCAGACAGAACTTCCAAAGATTCTGATCCTGTGCCAGAATCTGACATTCGGCAGAAGACAACAGAAGTCTGGAACAGATTGAACAGAACAGAACACCTTTCATATATTTGCACCAGGTTATTCCTAGCCGTCCTATGGGTCCTCTACCGGTCGGTTTCGCAAGAAAGAATTGCTGCTTAGCCTTCCTTTATCGAGGCATTCACAACACATCGCCAAACCATCGCAGGTGTCACTACCCAATCTGGAGTAGCAAAGACTATACACCAACGCTCTTCCGGGTGTCAGTACGCCGCACGATGTCGAGATGCGTAACGCCAGCGATTCGTCTAGGAAAGCCCATTTCAGCAGATTATACCAGACTTCGAAGCTTCTCAGTCATGGCCGACGACTCATGACAGTAGGTAGGCATGGGCATAAAGATCAAATTGAACAACGAGAGCACAGATTTCAGACTGAGCTCTGCTACAGTTACATCCGATTGGGCTAGTTCACGCAGAACGTCACTGAGTACTCCACTCGCCGTTCTCCAATTTTCCATCACTAGTAAATACAATTCCGAGGT